AGAGGTGGACAAGCTCTCATCGAGTTGTTGCGACGATTAAAAAAATTCAATAAGAGATCGAGAGATAATCGAGGAAGTTGTATACGTGCGAATCGAACGTATATATATATCAAAAGTTTATTTTGTGGAGAGGCATCGGGGAAGGAAACGATCAGATTTTTCAGAGCGGGGCGGAACGGCCAATTAAAAAGTTGGGGGTTAGTTAAAGAACGAAGACGACGGCGGTGATGCGGTTGACTCCGCCGAGAGTAAGTTTTCCAGGGAAACGTGGAATTAATTTGGAACGGCTGCCGGCTATGCGGCGGGCTAACACCGCCGTTCCGCCAACGATAATTAATCGTTACGCGCGCAATTCATATCGTTCATTATTCCCGTTTAACGTTTCACGTTTCCACTCGTTTTGTCATCCGATTTGATCTCTTTCTTCCTTTCTTTTTTCTCCCCTCGCAAAATGAACAAAACAAGGGAATCGTTGTCGTCGTTTGTATTTCTTATACGGATCTTTAATATAGTTAAATTTAATTTAATTATATGATTTAAAATTTCGAATTTTATGAAAGTCGAGTGGAAAGGAAATGCAATTATAAATAAAAAAGGAAAGAGTTTTATTGTGATAAATTGTTTTTAAAATTAGAAATTGTTTGAAAAAATTTATACTCGAAATGTAAAGAAGAGCGTATTGATAGAAATTTAAAATTTAACCAATGGAATTGGTACGGCTATTATTATTATTTGAAATTGTTATATCGCAGTTATATTATTTAATCCGGAAGGAATTAATCTTTCAATATTTTCATTTCGAACAGTATGAATGATTAACTAGATGGAAATTCAATAATTTGTTACGTTGGCTGGGAACGAAGAAGGGATCAATAATGGCGTTTTCCGGTTTATATCGTTAATTTCTCTACTTAATTATTCATAGGTTAATTTAAAATTATATACAAAATAGAAACGAACGACAATTGTAATTATGATACAATGAAACGAGGAGGGAATTTGATCTCGAATTTCTCTTGATTTCTCAAGCTCCTTAATATTCCAGAAATGTATCGAAAATTCATTTCGAAAAATTTCTCTTTCGTTCAGAGAATTTTTCCTTCAGATTTCAAGGTACGTTTTCTTCTTTGATCGATTTAATTATATCCAGATCCGCAAATTTTTTGGAAATAATAATTATAATAATTCTTAATAGTGAATCTCTACAAGAATAAAAAAAATCGGCAACGTATCAAAAATTTTTTGAGATTTCGAATTAAATATTTAACTTATATAACTGGTTCTAAAGTTTTATATCGAATGAATATTTTTATTCTTCTCCCTTGTACAAAATACAAAGAATGGAAGAGAGAACGAAAAATTTATTGTGAACAAGGAAATCGTTGTGATCGTCTGTATTTCGGATCTTTGACAATTTAAAATTTCGAACGAATTTTATGAAAGTCGAGTGGAAAGAAAGTGCAATTATAAATAAAAAAAGAAAGAAAAAAATTTTTCAATTCGACGTGAAAATCGCATCTTCGAAACGATCGAAAAATCAACGAGTATCGAAGCTTTATTCGTCGAGCCAATCGAAACGAATCGATGAAAAATCTCGCTCCCCGTAATTAAGTGTAAGGCACTGGAAAACCCAGCGAAAGGGACAAGATATGGGCGGACACGTTCGCTACTCGTGACAAGAAGTCGAGTGGTTTTCCACGCGCGAGAAAGTAGCGGACATGAAAGAAACAAGGGTCAACGAGTTCGAGTAATTTCGTAAAAAATGAATTAATTTCCTCTCTACTTTTTCCCTTCTTTTTAGATATTTATCGATTCAATCAAATACGCCGCTAATTATCCGAAATTATCATCTTTCTGTTCCGCGATAAATATTCGTGCGAATAATTTTCTCGTGAAACGAGATAGAGCAGAGCAGAGAGAGAGAGAGAGAGAGAGAGAGAGAGAGAGAGAGAGAGAGAGAGAGAGAG